AAACTGTTATGACTAACCACTTACCCACAAATTAATACTTTCAGTGAAACATACTAAGTTATTATTAGTATTTACTATTGTCCATAGTAGTAGTATTGTTGGTGGTGAAGTTATTGTTAATTTATTGTATGTCTATGGATATTTTGCTTACATGTTTGTGTGTGAGCATGGTGCACAGAAAAGCCAAAAAAAAAAAAAGACATTGACTCAAATGTAAATGTGAACTTCTTAAATTTGATTAGGAGTATTTAACAAAAAACAAAAACAAAAAAAATAAAAATAATTATGCTTAACATGATTAATAATGGTTAGAAGATCTCTCTCTTCTAAGATTTGGAACCAAGCCACTCATACTCTCTACATAACTACTGAACATTAACGAATATAATGCAAACCTTATCTACTAGAATCCATCCTTAAAGAGAAATCAGCCCTGAATAATGTGTGTGCATACATATTCATATATGCATATATATGGTATATAAATATACAATGTATGTATTACATGTATATATACACACACACAGGCAACAATCTATAATGCCAAAATTTGGAGTTATAGGTAGGAGGATCAGAATTTTAAGGGCTGACTACGTTATAGAGAAAGTTCGAAATCAGCAAGCAACAAAGTAAAACTGTCTGAAAACAACTTCAACATAAATCATGCAAACAGATGGTTGATAGATTTGAAGGCAAGGAATAAAACTGTGTACTTGCACTTGATATTATCTATGAAGAGAATCCTGAACAATCAAGAAACACACACAATTTCACAGAACTAATAAGAAATCATTGTCAGTTTGTAGGTGCAAAATTAAAACATAAAAGTCAATTGTTTGTTATTTACTAGCAAAAAAAACTTGGTTATAATTAAAAACATAATGCCATTCAACTTAACATAAATTAAATGAGATGCTAGATAGGAATCTAAGATCATATTATCCGCAACATATTCCTCTGAACACAAGAAACTAAAGGTAAAAGTAAACTGTGTTCTTATTAAGAATATCTATCAATTAGCATAACAGTAATATCAATGTCAACTGATTTTTAGAGTGTTTGATATATTCCTGTAAGACAGATGAAATGCAGTCTGATAGCATAACATAATTTGTACGAAGCCACAATAAATATCGTAAGCTGAACATAGGAATTCTGGAGACCCTTTTGGCCTTTAGAGGCTTTACAACGGATAGCACCACCAAGGTTTGAGTTTTCTATTAAGACACTAGATGCGTAGATTCTTCCAGCCTCTGTGTATAAAGATGGGATCCAGAGATAAAGAAAATACAGAGAAAGAGAGGAATGGTTCCCTGGAGATCTGAGGGGTATATATCATGCAGCTGGGCAATAGTGTGATGGAGAGGGATGGTCCAAGCAAACATCAATAATTAAGTAAAGGTCCAAAGATGAGTAGAAACTCAGTATTACCTGGGAAGCAGGGGCCACTAAGGATGACCAGAGTCTAGAAAGAACTGAGGAAAATGAAGATAAAAGCCCACAGAGAAGGTTCAGAGTGTGGAGGCTGCATCCACAATGCCGCAGAGTCTGGATTTCATTAAATGTCTAAGTTGGTTCCTGGGCCAATTAAACATGCAGTGTAGAAGCATCTGTCTGGTTGCTTTTGTGAAGTCTCTAATAAGTATGCTTCTGACACTCTTTGCTTTGCCCTTTGCATTTTTCAGATGCTCATTCATTTTTGTTGAATTAAATATTTCATGGACAACTCTAGTAAAAATCCTTTGCTTTTTAACGCTTGCATCCTGCCTACTTCCAACAAGGATCTGGGCCATGGTTCACAGAATACATTTGTGGGACTGTTTCTTCTTGAGACTTCATTGGATTTTAAGCCAGATGATTGGCAGAAGAATAAATTAGTTATTCATCCTTAACTAATGATGATGGATTCCAACTTACTGTGAGCTCTCTGAACCTATGGATGATATTCATTAGACAGTCAATATTTGGTAATAGGAATAGTGGATTTTATCAGTGATGTAGGTATGGATGGCTACATGGAATGGCAAATATTGAGCTATGTGTTAGGTGCCACATAGGATACATGACAATGTTTTTCTGAAATCAATTGTGTTAGATAGAGATCATACATCTACTAGCATGTAAAAAGGTATAGCTAAAGTAATGAATGAACTAAAGTTATAAGCCCCACATAAAAAGTAGAGGGTAAACATTCTTTAATACATAACAATTTATCCTTCTTAAATCAACATATCCTGAAAGAGTCCAAATGTTTATCAAACCAAATTTAAACCCCAACGAATTGAGGAATTTTCCATCACAGCTTTTGTTCTGATTTTGAAAAATAACTTACTCTTCTTTCAGTTTTGCATCTATAGTAGGTGAATGCCTTTGCATCCCACAAATCAGTGTGTACTAGAACTTCCTACAGATAGATTAACACATCTGCAGTTGAAAGCCAGGTGGTATGAGAAAGGAAAAGTGTGTTCCCATGAGAAATGTTAAAAGCATAAATTCATAAGTGAAGGAAACATGCTATTCTCAGCAAGGAAACAATACATGTTGCATCTGTTGCTTTTGTTAATTATATACTGCAACTCAGATAATGTTTTTAAAGGGCCGCAGTTGATCTTTTAAGACCCAGGACTTCACTGCATTGGAAGCTGATGAGGAATAGGGCACTAATTGTGAACAGCTTTACATAACAGGTCTGTTGAGTGAGAAACTATAGGCTAATAATGGAAAAGCATAGTTTTCACATAACACTTAGGCAGTGTTACCCAACCTTTCCCAACTGACTCTGCTAATGAATCATAATTAAAAATAATAGAGCTTTTTTGCTGAGAGTGTCCCCACTTAAACTTTAGTGGAAACTTGAGCAAAAATGGCTTCAGTAAGGTCTACCATATTCTTGAAAGTTCATAGTCTTAAACAAAATATGGCAGCCTCCAGAGGGAATGCTAAGAATTGAAGACTCACAACTTTTCAGCCCTTAGTCACTGTGGTAGTTCATGTCATGTTTAATTTTCATGACCATATTTAGTGACAAAAAACAAATGAAAAGACATAAATAATAAGCATAGCCTTTTGAAAAAAAGAACTCTTAGGCAGCACTGTTTTTCTCTCTTGTTAGCAGTGTGTTCTCTTCCTCCTGATGACTCATTCTATTCCCAGAAAATGAAACCATAGTTCTTCAAAAATACTATCTTTAGTGAAATAATTTGATAACCTAATGAATGACGTTCATAGTCTTCTTATCTTAAATACTAATGCTCTCAGTTAGACTCTTTCAGCAACGTGTTCCACTTACTGTGACCTCCTACCTGCTCTCTGCCATCATTTTTTTAAAAATATATTCTCTTTTATACTATAATTTCAAGATAAGTATAAGGATCACAGCAAAAATGTCCTGTCTATCACCACAGAATGGTTTGGTCAAGAATACAAAGATAGGAACTCCTACTTGAGACTATACAAACCATTGTCAATTTGAGTTCAGTTCTGGGCTGGCAAGCCCTGTCTGTACACAGTGACACCTGGCAGTAAAAAGAAATGAACTATCAGCTATGTCTATTCCTATGTGGAAAATGGCTGGAGACACCTCTTCTTTTGTCTTCCTCACGTTGTTCAATCTCTGTTGCAACTAACCCCCAGAAATATTCTGGAATAGAACGTACAACAGTTACAGAATCAATGTTAATCTAGCTACCTTACTAATATGTAGATAAGAAGAAATTATTTGAAAACCCTTAAGTTTGAGGGCCTACTTCCTAAGTACTATAAAAATTAAGACTTCATTTTTGATGAGCAAAGTCTATCATGTTTTACAGATGCTCCCATCCACTGGTATAACTCAATAGTAGAATATCTGCTTAGCATGTGTGAGGGTCTGGGTTCAAATATTCAGTACTGTGAAAAAGAAGAAAACAGATGGGAAAAGAAGAGGAGGAGGAGGAGGAAGAAGAGGAAGAGGAGGAGGAGGAGGAGAAAGAAGAAAAGAGAAGCATAAATTCATGAAATTTAATATGAATTTAATTTACATTAATTTAATATCAATTTAGTACACATCAACTACACCTAGAGAGGTAGATCTGGCACTCTAAGTAGCATGAACATTCCTGTTTATTACATCATCACCCTCACTCCCAGTGCTGCCCCTTCCACAGTGTCCCTTTCTCCCTCCTCCACACTCTAGAAAGCATCATGGCTCTCAAATTTTTTTTCTCAGTTGACATCTTGTCAATGAGTTTGAGTTAGACACCCATGTTGGCCACATTCATTCAAGGATGTTGCTTTCAACCACTAGACAAGCTCTCAGAAAACGGAAGCCTTTCCTTTTACTGAGAACTCATACCAAATCCTGTTGCTCTAATGAATACTGGTTAAAAGAATATTGTAACAAGATGCAATAAAAACAGGATCTTATAAAAGTGGGAGAAAGAATTAAGAGTGAGAGTTTGGAGGCAGCTGAGAAGTGAACGGAAGTGAAAATGGGGGAAGAGAAATGCTGTTTTCAGAGCAGAGACTCATCCTTCACAGTCTTGCTTTTACAGTTTCTCCCGCTTTGAATTGCAAAGCTGAAAACAAGCGAGTATATCAAACGTGTTTTCCCAATTATAATACCTCAGAAAATGGGATAAAAATCATTTTAATGTGAGGAAGGACCAAAGAGGATGTGAAAAAAATAAATAAAAAGCGGAAACTTGGAAATGCTGAGAAACCCCTATTTGCCACATTCTCTGGCAGCCTTTTCCCAAAAGATTTGGTAATGCAATTCATTAATCTGATGGGTTAAATATTCACCTTGGTAACGGGAGCGAAGACTGTGCATTATATTGAGAAATTATACAACATATTTACCAAATGGAATGGCTGCCTCTATCATCATATTTGTAGAACATAATAAAATCTGTACTTGACTAACAGGTGTTTTACCTTAAAGTGCTTTTCATACTGTATTATGAACCTATTTTCTGACACCGGTTATTACTTATTTCTACAGCCTTTATTATAGGAGCAGTTAAAGAGTAACTTCCACTCTTAAAAAGGTTGATTTGTTTTACTCCAGGAGTGAGTCAGCTGTGGAGTGTTGAGACAGGCTGGAGTTAAAGGGCATCTGCCAGGTGAAACTGGAATCGTGTATGCTTTTTTCATGATGCCTCTCCCTTTGTTTCTTGTTTCACCTTTCCGACTCTGCAAGTGTTTGGTTGTGAAAGTGTTTGCCTATTTATAGTGTTCGTTGTTTCACTGCTGTTTTCCAATCCCCTCAATTCTCCACATAGCTGAGATAGGGACAGTCATACCAATCTCTGAATGGGAACATTGAAATAGGGTCCGTACACCAAGGTTTTAATCGTCATTATAGATTACGTATCGTCCATGTATATGCTGAAATCTTAGACTATGTGAACAAATTGTTTGTTGACTGTTAAGACATTTGCCTGGTACCGTCACCCTGATCAGTTCAGAGAACTTGAGTTAATAGAGGAAGAGGTTTTGATTTGGGGGGTTTCATATATTTAAATATATTTTAATCATTGAGGTTTCTGGTACTTAATGCAGTTTTTCCTTTTTTATTTTTTCTTACTCTTCCATGGGAAAAGGGGGCAGGACTAAATGCAAATTAACATTACTGTTTAAATATCACAGACCATTTTCTCTGAGCCCAGTTACAATAACTAGTAATTATAAAAATTGCTTGCCTTTGGCTTCCGGCTAAGCCAGTGCTAAACTTGTCCTTTTATTAGGTCTGTCAGACTGAGTTAATTATCTTTATGATAATAGATGTGCCTTACCTCCAACAAAACAAATACACTTATAATTAGCTTTTTAGTTAGAATTTTAATTTATTTATAAAGACTGTTTGTTTTATTTTGTTCTTCCAGTTATAAAAGCCAGAGTGTGGGGAGGGATCATTTCCCATTAATCAGGTTAGCAGTCTGCTTAAGGTTACAAAAAGACAGGACGAAAAGGGGGCCCATTGTGTTAAACCATTCAGCCTAGTTGACTAGTCAGTCCATTGTTCCTCTTCTGAGTTGCATTAATTCAAGTGCAAGGCATTTTGTTTTACTTTGCATAGACCCCAAAGCCCTTTTAATCTGCTTCTTCAATATGGCAGTGTTATGGGAGATGTTTAATGAAAATACTAAAAAGTATGAATTGGGGGCTCTTTTGTACCACAGGAAAACTATAAGGAAAGTTAAAATAGTTTACATTGGTGCTGTATGCCCACACATTTGTTGCTCATGTTCTTCTTTTATCCATGCCCAGCACATATTGAAAATGACACAAAATCCGGCAATGATGTTTCAGAAGAATCTACTGAGAGAGCAGAGCACATGGAGACATGGAGATACATATGCTCTGGTGGGATGTCAGGAAGAGCTGGCCTTTGGCATTGATTTCTCTTCTTACAGCCATTTGACTAGGGCAGATATCTGAGCCTTGGTTTCCTTACCAGTATAATGGAAATAACTCCAGCTAAAAGGAGCCATTTGTATGAGAGAACCCACACTAAGGGCTGGCTGAGCTCAGTGGGGGGAGACTGTTTTCATCAGGAGAATCATGGGGGAGTGGGGATATGCAAAGAATCTGAAATTAGTATTATAATCTAATAATAATTTCTAGGGTTCATTTTATATGGAGATATGCGCTCTTCTAATTAGTGAAAACAGGCTTCCTCAATCATCTAAAAATTTACTCCTGATTCAAGCCACATAATGAAAGCGTATGCAAAGAACTGACTTTCCAATCTTGGTACTGTGAACTCCTGTGGGTTCCATGCTGGAAACTGCCCCTCAATATTACTGGCACCAAGCATAACCAAGCATAACTATTTCTTTTTCTCTTTATTTTTCCAAACAAAGGTAGCTATTCGTTGTAGTCTGAAAAGTGCTATTGACTTACAGTCTCCTTCCAGCTACTTTTGATCTGCCAAATGTGGAAATTTTCACTATGACAGTGAAGGTCTCACTTGCTCAATGTGAGTACCAGGATGTTTACTAAGGGGTTGGATTTTTCCAGAAAAAGATTCCAGTTGTTGACACACCATTAGCACTACATGTTCTGTAAATCCATTCCCAGTGAAAACTAGGAACTCCATGCAACCAATGATAAATCAGTACTCTGCACTCTGGCCTTGGCCTCATATACTCTAATTGAGGTCATGGTGAAACCCTAGAGACACAGGTCAAGCATCCAAGGGAGAATCCCAGTGTCAACCCAAGAACAAGGTGTGGGTATTGAATACTGGGACGACTTATTTCTGGCTATGTGTTTAGAGTTCAGTCATCACTACCTAAAATGTGCTAATATTTGAGGTAACCAAAGTCCTTTGACATAGAAGTTTCATCACTTTTACAAGCAGCTTCTTATGTCATCCCCGTAAAAACTGTCGAAATTACTATGGGTTTTTTTTTATGTATCTCTTGATCATTGTAGTATATTAAAATTATCCATACCTTCAGGGAAATATGTTGATTTTTCTTTCAATCAGTGTCCTTCATAGTCTATAAAACACAACATAGCTCCTCATTCTGTAACCCTCTAACTAATGTTGCAAATATGAGACTTTAGGACTCTGATTTTTTTTCCTTCTTATATTTTGGTGACCTATGCATTCTCCCTGATCTTGCCAAGTAGTAAATTCATTCATTACTTCCATAAATATTGTTTTCAAAGCCCACGTTTGATGCAAAGGACACAGCAATGAAATGATGGATGCATTCCTTGTCCTCCCCATTATCTCTACCCTGACACGATTTGAGAATACTGAACCGTGACATAAAGACCAGCCTGGAGCAGCAGCACAATGGAGGATGGTACACTTACATCAAGCCCCGAGGATAAGCAGTATTTGTGTTTCAAAAAAGAGCATTTAAAAGAAATGTCATCAATTAGGCACTGAATAATCAGAATTTGGAGTGTTGGTATCTTTCACATTTTTAAATTAAACTAGTCTCAAAACAACACAAACTCCTCAGTAATACAGAAAACAAAGATGGAGTTTAGCTGAGCAACACAGATTTATTTTTTACTGTTACAAAATATATATGAGTGTCATTTTTCCATTCAGCAGACACTATGAAATTTCTCTGTAACAGGTAACTTTAGCCATCAGGTATAACTAGTGAGTTCACATGTTCACTGCAGTTGGAACTTATCATAATTCTTATTATGTCTCTGTGAAAGGTGAGGTAATACAGAATGAAGTATTCAGAGGGAACATGTCTGAACAACTTAACTTTTCCCTGATTCTCCACTCAGGCTAGCTGACTGGGATTCCAGCACCCTGCATGCTAATTCAAAAGGACTTATACCTAGATAAACTATAGGTTTAGGAAGAACTAATTGTCAGTTCTTAAATTTTCATCTATTTATTTGCTTTTTATTGTAACTACATTAAGTCAGCAAATAGATTAAATCGAATAAAAGATAAATTATATGACTTGGGAGGTGAGTCAGTAAAGCTGAGCTGAAATACAGATTACCTACATAGTAAAAGCCAGGTAAAGCAGTGAGTACCTGTCAACGCCAGTCTTACATGTTGGTGAGATGACAGGTGGTATATGTCTGTCCTCTGGGGTCAGTTTAGTTGAATAAGTGAGCTCCTGGGTCAAACAGACCTTGTTTCCAGAACAAATTATGGAAAGCAATAGAAGATTGCAGCCAAAGTTTACTCATAGCCCCCACATACACGTAGGTGAATAGATACATATGCACAAAGATGCGCATACTACAGAGGCATACGCACATGCACATAGGCACACACACATACACCACATAGGCACATACAGACGTGAATATACATATATGCACACACTTGCATATACCACACACACATGTGCGCGCACACACACACCAAAATTATAATTTCTTCAATACCAATAGACATTCTTTAATGATAGTCAGGAATCGAGGCGGGTTCCCAAACTGTTGGCTTTTGAAACAAAATATTTTCAGGAAGTGTTTACCTAAAAATAGTACTCATGTATGAGATTCTCAGAAAAGAAAGCATACACAACAAAGAGGAAATGCCCTTTGAACATTGGTATGGCAGCATCTCTGGATGACTAGGACTATGAAAACGCAGTGCAGACCACAGAGCATTTGAAATATGAAAGTCATCTATGAAGTCATTTTGATGTATGCCCTAAAAAATAAAAAGTAATAATTCACAGTCTCAGTTTCACAAGAAATTAAAAGAGTCTTCATTTATCCCTCATGATGAATTCATGACTCAAATATTTTGGTAAAAGGCATTTTTTTAACTGCACTATGAATATAAAGAGGCCAATTTTACTTTCCTTTTCTTTTTCATGGGTAAATCATTTGGGGCTTTTTTTTTCTGTTATTTTGCTATGGTGAGCCAATGTGATATACAAGCCAGTATTACATTTTCTTATCTTTTCTTTTTCTTTTTTGGTTGAATGACAGGGTAATATACAAATAGAACTTGTATAATTTTACAAGTGTATTAATTCTTATTCATCTCCATTTTTATTTAATATTTTCTTTCTTTCTTATTGATTTTTATTGAGCTCTACATTTTTCTCTGCTCCCCTACATGCCTCTCCCCTTCCACCTTCAACCCTCCCCCAAGGCTCCATTTTCTAAAAGTAGTGGTGCAGAGAGATCCTCAAATGGTATTAGGCTATTGTAACCCACCTGCAGGTTGCAGTTTCTTTCTTTCTCTTCTACGTTTGTCTATCTGTTGCTTCCATGAACTAGGATGCTATCTACTTTGTACATCTAGTTTCATCACCGATGCATCCCAGGAATACGTTAGCTGGAGATGGCAAGTGGTCTCATGTGTTTAGGAAAAATCCATATCTCGTAAGTCATGATTTCTGCCATCCCCTCAAAACCAGCGGTAGTGTCATTTCCCAGGCCCCTCATTATTAGCCACTATTTCATCGTGAAGGGTGAAACTCTGCTGCTACTGTGGCTCTGTAGGACAACTTGAGGGAGGGATGACCTCCATAAACATAAACGGGACTTCATGAAGGACTGAATAAACTTCTATCCATTTTAATAAAGGTACGTGGCATATGGAAATCTACTCAGAGTTCCGTGGTATCTCGGCAACAACCAGAATTGACAGCAGTGCCTATGGGACCTAGTT